ATACTCTTGTAGAAGGGTGAGATCCTGGTTGAAAACTTGTTATAAAGCTCCTGAAGAACCTTATGTATCGTGTAGTGGTGTCCTATTTGTCCAAAGTCCGGATGACCGCTTCTTTCTTCACAGAATACAGAACAGAAAACCAGTGCCTTCGATGGATATTCTGTGCTTCTTCCGACAGTATTAATGCTCACCAGAGTTGGAGACATCAAAGTAGATGACATGAAGACGTAGCAGCATCTTTTGCCCTCATGAGACAGTGTGTTCCATCTTCTGAAGCAGTAGACTTGACTGCTCATAAGTCTAAACCTTTCCGAAATGGGCACGTATGGCACTAATGGGCAGCACGTTTTAAGCGAACTCGGAGGAAGCACCATGTTTGATTCTACATCCATTAGCTCGTTGAAAGAAACTAAGTGAATGCCTTCCAGAGTTGTGTAACAGTTGTGAGATAATGCTAGTAGACGTTGTTTTCAGAGGTATTGATGTTGTGCGAAACAAAATAAAGTCATTCTGTCAAACGAAAGTCACTCTTCCTCCTAAGCGCCAAAAACTAATAATCCTCGACGAGGCTGATTCAATGACCGAGGGAGCGCAACAGGTACCGGAACTGCGCGTGGTTGTTTAATCTATTCGATTTTTGTGGTTATCTTTATTTTTTAGGCTTTGCGGCGTATAATGGAGAACTATAGCGAAACAACACGTTTTGCTCTGGCCTGCAATCAATCTGATAAAATTATTGGTACGGTTTGTCCTGCCGGTCTTCTTGGTGTTGTTATCAAGGCATTAATTCGTGAAACACAAGATCCCTTTCACAACTCTTACCCACTTTTTTTATTTATTTCTATTCCGCTCTCTATCTGTCTCCGAGTTCAATCGGAATCTCCAATCAATTGAAGAAAGAATACGTTTTTTGTAGGCAACAAACCCGTCAATCTTCGCTACCCGCTCGTTCCAATAACTTGTTTTCTTTCTATCTCGTCTACCCATGAACATTCGAGTTCCCTGCGACTCGTCCTATTATTTCCACATATCTTTCCAGTTGTGCTTTTTTATGTTAGGTGTTGTGCCACAGATACTGACCGACCGAGCCCTTCACCTATACATTTGCCACTCTAGTCAGGGTCGCCAGCTTTCTCGGCTCTTTGAGTGGAGGTCCCATGATTTCTTTCTGACACCTCTCTTGAGGAGTTCTTGTTAGGCTGGTGTCAGAGTCCGCGATCCGTCGCAGGTTTCGCTGATTTTCGCGATTTTCGCGATTTTCGCGAAACCTGCGACGGATCGCAAAAATTGCAAGTGCCCCATTTGAACATTTGAAACACTGAATATGAAACAAGTGGAATCATGAGCAGTCGTCATTCAGCCATCACTATCAAGCAGAAGTGGCGGCAGGATTGGAGAACACCTTGCAGTATTGATCGGGCACTTGTGATTTCCGTGACCCGTCGCGCAAATCGCGAAAATCGCGAAACCTGCGACGGATCGCGGACTCTGACACCAGCCTATGTTTTTTGCTATACGGTTGCCAAAAATTACAGTCGATTTCAACGTGCTTGATTCCATCATTCAGAACCCGTGCAGTCTCGCTGTGCAATTCTGCGGTTCCATAAGCTCACTGACGCACAACTCGCACACAGACTTGAAGAAGTGTGTAAAGCGGAAAACGTGAGTTTGATTTCACTGAGTGTCCCCTACCTTTTTTCGTTTTATTAAAAATAAATACAACCACTTACCCTTCCGATGCCTACATGTCTTACTATGTATGTATGTACTACTACCTTACTATAGGTTAATCTTGCAGCCAAATCTTTATCCTTTTTTTCAATTCCCTTGTCTTTCTCTTCTACTAATATGTTTTGGTTTTTTAATTTGATTTTTTGGTTTTTTTTTTGGTTTTTTGGTTAATTGGTTTTTTTTTTTCGCGTTTATGGAACATTTCGAATCACTTCAACATTATTCTCACATATAACTCTTCAACAAAATTATCTCCCCTTTGATCACCGCACCCGAACAACCGACCTTATGGTTAGATCCTGGACTTTCGAAAATCAGCGTGTTACTGCAGCAACTGGCACATACAAGAGCCTCTGTTCAGTGCGAAAATTTGTTGGGCCTGGGCAAGATCTGGCTCAAAATTTGCTTCTCGGACTATGCGGTAGTGACCCTTTTGCCTCTATCCAACTCGATGACTCTTACTATAAATGGTATCGTGAACGGACCGTCACCGACCGATATAGCGTCATCATGACAATGAGGTAAATTAGGTAAGGCCCACCCAGCACATGAAGTTGTTTTTTTTTTTATTAGCAAGACGTTTCTCTTCATACTTTCCTCGATTGTTATCGCACTAGAAAAAAATCTTGAAATTGTGGTAGCTATACATAAGCTTTCGGGCATTCAATCCGTCGTACTGCTGGGGCCGTAAAGGCTATGCTTTCCCCGAATGGTTCGGGGACGAAACCTTTAAATTTTTTTGTTTTGAAGCGATACTGTTTCCTTTAAACCACGTCTGACGACAACGCGAGTTTTGGCACTTTTGGCCACGTGGGACCACGGCGTTTTTGCGAGCGCCGCCGCCTCAGGTTGTTCAAGCAAATTTTGAGTGATAAAAACATAAATAATGATCAATACAAGGCCAGATCAATATATTGTAATGAGCACAACCTACTCGGAGGTACAGTAGCGGAATTTCTATTGAAAGACATGGAATAACAATGAAAAAGTGATATTCTTTAGAACAAGCTGCAATAAACTTCAAAGGCAATTTTGAGTTGATTATTTTAATCAAAACACATATATTGTCATCTCTAAGGTACCGTATCTACTTCTACTACTATTTAAACCTTCACATTCATAGGAAGAAAAAGTAAACGAAAAATTTATTAGGCTGAAGATTTCGTATGGTTCAGAAATCCTCCTCTAAAATTGAAGCATACGTGACCATTCTATGGACCACTATGTTTTAGCTAGGTCAAGGTCTCCTCCATTCAATAATTACAAGAAACTTCTAGAAGAACCAGGCGTGCGCGAAAAAAATTAGTGTAATGGGTGCGGGGGATATATCCCCCGCACGGTCCGACACGGCCTGCAATGCGCGGGATATATATCCCCCGCGTTGTCGTCAATGTGTTAATTCAATGCAATGCTTACCTTAAGCTACACACATATATTAGATGTAGGCCCTTTATCAGAGCAATCCCAGTTGGGACTACAGAGAAAGTTTAAAGGAACTTTCGTCCCCTAACCCTTCGGGGAAGCATACCTTATGACACCTGGTAAACAACTTTTTTCTTTACCCATGTATAAATTGGACAAGTCCCTCGTTAGCAGGTGTGTGTCTCTTCAACCAAGTCTAATTAGTTATCACACAATGCCTAATTCTAATAGAACTAGTATCAACGAAACGGCGTAGGTATATGAATGAGCAGCAGTCACAACAATGAAGCAACAGAAGTTTCGATATGGTTTTGAGCGCCACTTTCGTAGGAGTCGCATTTTCTCACTAAGATCTATTTTTAGGGTGTATATAGCGTATTTCCCACCTGTTGTATATGCTATATAAATTCTTCTAATAATGAGTGTGCCACCTGTGTGTGCCAACAGTAGTCAGAAATTTATTAATATGGCCAATTCCACGATACCGAAATACTTTATGAGCTTCAGGTTAGCTATGATGATGAAGGGCTCAATGCTCTCCTGTTCACGGCGCAGGGAGATATGCGACAGGTAGCTGACTTTCCTTCACTATAGCATTTTCTCATCACAGACCATGTTTTTCAGGCACTGAATAATCTGCAATGTACGGTATCTGCCTATAATTACGTTTCTGCTGAAAACGTGTTGAAGGGTAGATATTCGTAATAAATAGTATTTTTCTTAGTGTTTTCTATGCATTGAAATCATTACGCAGGTATGCGATGCCCACCACATCCGCACACTGAGTGGCAAACATCTCTCGCTGTGCGCCGGAGCATGAAATTTAAAGAGCTGCCCAGATTGTCCACGACTTCTACAAGTTAGTTTTAGTTTGACCTGTACGAAACTCCCACAATCACATTGACCGCACTCATATGAAACGTAATAGTGTCATCAGTCATGGGTCAGGTCAGAGGGTATTCCAGAATGGGCTACTCTCCTGAGGATATCATCTCAAACATGTTCCGTGTATCGAAAACTGTTCCTCTACCAGAGTTCGTGAAAATGGAGTTCATGAAGGTTCGCATGTTTTGGTATAACAATTGCTCGGATTTCTAGGCTTCCAGTTTTTCAACAACTCTCATTTAGGAAATTGGATTATGTCATATGCGGATCAGCGAAGGGCTTTCGTCCCTGCTACAACTTTCCGGGCTGGTCGCTAGACTATGTGCCATCCAAGCGCACTGATCTCTTCCTGAACCGTACTGTTTTGCATCTGTTTTACAGGTTTTCTTCTCAAGTTCGGGTACGATTCAAAAAAATCACCTCATCTGTTGACTATAATCACTCAATTTGTCACATTTTTCATCTGCTGCTCAGTACAGCACACTTTCTACACTCGATACGATTGTTTCAACTCACAACAAAGAATCTAGAATTCATTGGAGTCGTCGTCGCTATACAATTCACCACATGAATCTTTTTTCTCCTTTTTTGAGGTATGTCCCAGCAACAATTCCGGCAAAGAGAATTACACCCAACCATTGGTTGGATTTGAACTTCCTCCAACAGTCTTTACTGTCGTTTATGTTGACAGTACCAATTTGCCATGCTAGCTGAGCTGCAGTGCCTGAAAATCAAGATTACTACTAATGGTCACCTTAGTCATTTGCAGTTGTTTTCAAAATTTGGAAGAAAACAGCAACTAGCACTGAGTGCAATCTATAACACTAGGAATTAGGCCGGGACGAACTTATAGAAAACTGTACAAACCTGCTAGAGCTAAGTAATAAGGCCAAGTCTGTTCTGCAATGTATCCAGTGAGACCAAGCCCAGCAACGGCCGCGGTGCCAAAACCACACAACCACGGCTTTGTATTATCTCCAAGTCGCAATGCAGTAGATTTCACTCCAATCATGATATCATCTGTTTTGTCCTGGAATGAAGATCGTTTAGACGTGCTTGACGTGAGCATGCTGAAGAAGGAAACACGAAGGGGGAAGCCCGCACCACATGCTGCGCTACACACAGCATTTCATAAAACTGGACAACGAAGAACGAAACGATGGACACAGGGCGTGTATGTGCAATTATGATGATCACGTGTACAGCCATGCATCAACACAAGAAGCTTAGCGTGAATTGGCCATGTGCTATTCAGATGTCAGATTAGGCGGTTTCTTTACTTTTGATTAACGACAAATAAGCACTGTATTAGAGAATAACCAAAGACGTTGGGCAAAATGGAGGAATAACACACTTCCAACAGGAGTTAGCATAACCTGATGTGCGTAAATAGTATCGTAGAGGAGAGTCCACTGAAGGGCAGCTAGGTAGAGGGCAATCGGAGCAGAACTGAGCGACCCTTGAATAGCCGACCAACCCAGAAGTGCACCCCAGTTGAACGTGAGTCCTGTAGCAAAATCATCTCAGTAGCCATTTCACCATTTCAGTCTTGCAATGCTATTGACAGAAACTAAGCCAAACCAAAATGTATCAAGGTGTCCCAAAACTGAGCTTCCGAATATTTCTTAAATTTAAGAAAACCGCAACTTATTCAACTTTAGAACGATGTCGGACTCGGACGAGTAGCACTCATTGAAAACCATCCGTAGGAGTCAACTCGTTTTCTGGTTACCGTACGTTGTTTCAAGAACAAAAACAATTAAATGAAATCGCTCTTTTGGTTCAAAAAGAGTTGGAGTTAGGTTAATTTGTGTTTCTCGTGAAAACACAAAGGAGCGTGACTAGTTCGTCTGACTGACTTTGAATGATGATCGACTAGCAGAAGCAGTAGCTGCCGGGGTCGGTGTGCCGAGCACATAGGCAGATATATTTTTTGAAAATCGTAGTCTAAGGGTCAAAAATAATCGCTGTTCTGTTTGAAACAAAAATATCGAGAGTATGAAATTAGTTGACAAGCAGAAACAAGGAAAACGGAAAAAGGGCGATATTACGCAGACTGTTGCCTATCTTGCCTCACCTATTCCCGTCCTACAGCAAATTATTTGTGGACAACAACCCGACGAGAAAATAAATTTGAAATCCAATCTACTTTTTGTATCAATTTCTAAAAACTGCCAACGTTCTTTTTCTTTTAGTTCAATAAGCTGCATGTTCCGTCAACAAGGCATCCATTTTTGTAGCCCGGGTTGTAGACAACACCATTATTCGCGTATAGATATAGATTAGTTGCTTTGGCGATTGAATTCGATTCGAGAGAAAGGCTGACCTCGGAAATTTTGGGAAATCCCTATACGTACAAGTCTGTGAATCATCTAACCTGCACTTAATAAACAACACGAGAAAATTTCTTTAGAGATTTGAGCTCTTGCAGAGCCTAACTGTTTCTAGGCGAATCGGCTAAATTTATTTAGCATGGAATGAACAACGCAGCTAGCGTGTTTGTATAACGTTAGCCAATACTCCCGCGATCCTCGTTTTGACTGTTTTACTCAAGTTTTCAAAAGTTCAAACAAGTTCCCAAATATACTAGGTCCATAATCTTTGAGACACTTTAAATGTATTGAAAAAGTCCTCTTTTTATAAATATTGAAGCTTTTCAAAATCTCTGGCAACTCTGCACACAAGTTCACCTATCTGGCAGGCTACCCACCTCTTTTGCTCGTTGCCTTCTTTAGGTAGGATTCCAATTTCTTCGAAACTATTCCTGAGCCTCTTTCTTTTAAATTGCCGATTAGGATCTTCCACGCACCAGGCTAAATGGAGGATTAATCGAAATATTCAGGGCACACTCTCTTGAACCATGGTGCACGGGTACTCACCTCTACTCGGGGTTCTTTTCTTTTATTTGAAGAAGATTCACACTCCTGACCACCCCGTCAACGTAGCAATCTCGATGCTCTATCCGGCGCCATTGAAAAGGAATCTGAACAAAGTGAGCGCTATTTGTCAGAGCGCTTTTGGTGTGACAAGGGCAGAGTACTGAGACAAGTCGATAAAGTCGCTAAGGTTTGAAAATATGGAGTTTGTCTCTCACATGCTCTGAGCCCGAGCTCTAAACCCGATCTGACATCATCATGTTCCTGTTGGTTTCCCATAGTTCCTTCGAATGACCATCCCCATACTCACCGGTGATGTGGACTGGGTGCAGTGTGCTAACAAATCCACAAGCCGCAGTAGCTTAAACGATTCGGGAGTTCTGACAGCAAAACCCAACTCCCTCTGAATTCGAACTTCCTGAGTCGTTGGCGGAATACGAGAGGGGCTTTGCGCTGGGAACCGGCACCAACTAATACCAGTGTCAGTGATGAAGATAATCGTCGACAGCTTGATGGCAACGCCTTCAACTTGAAAGCAAAGAAGACAAAATCTATTTTTTTCTGAGGTCGTTCGAGCCCACCTTGCTAAGAAAATTCCATAAAAAATTGGAGACTCTCGGGCGGTCAGTTCTTTTAGCTCCGCCTTGTAGCACTAATCCTGCGTCAACGAACGACTATCCGCTCTCCTCTCTCAATCACCTTCTGGAGAAGAAATCTCACTTGAATCACCATAAAGTCAAAATCGACATCCAATATTTCTTCGATCAGAACTCTATGAAATTCTACAAGAGAGACACTGAATACCCACCCTCGCATTGGCGATATGTTGGTAATAATGGTGATGTATACTATGCTGAATAAATACATCAGAAATAAATAAGTAATTGAATCGAAAAACACCCAAAGGTTCTCAAAAATTATGGACCGACCTAATTCGAGAGCGTTAAGACAGAAGATTTGCGTTGCCCCCATGAATTCCAAATTTCATGTGGACACCGCAAATCCTCTATCCTATGTGATCCGTAGAGGTTTCCTTCGCCGCAGAGAGCTTTTTAGTGCATGGGTCGCCGTGAACTATCAATTCGCTACGCTGCAGTTATGCGAGCAAGTCCAATTTGGTACCGCTGCGGTCACACTCGGCTAAAGGCACCAGCAGCAGTGATCTGCTGACAGAAGTGCATACTTAATTATAAAAGACCGTATCACGTAAAGAAGTCAAAATAGTAGAGCAGAGGCATAGTAAATTTGTCGAATTGACCACAGCCTGTGTACTTTATTGGAACTTTGAAAGCAGTCTAAACCAATGCTGAACCTCATTGAGGGATGCAAGCGAAGGGTAAGATGTCGGTCAGACTTGGCGATTGCAACGCGATGGACCAGCGACGGAGCGACGCGATCGCTCCATCGATTGCAACGCGATGGACCAGCGACGGAGCGACGCGATCGCTCCATCGATTGCAACGCGATGGACCAGCGACGGAGCGACGCGATCGCTCCATCGCGTTGCAATCGCCGAGTATGACCGACATCTAACTTCCAAAGTGCATATTCCATGCAGGCACTAGAAGCAAGATAGGTAGGGTCCTTCGAGAAATTTCCTTGCTCGAATTCGAGAAGGGTGAAATTCGCCAGTGGATTTATAATACGCTACAGAGTGAATACCACATTTCATCTGAGACGGCAATGATATAGAGTCCCAGTCAAGGGTGGTGATCTGGGGCTTGATTTGAATTAGGAGCTAAGATACTGCGACTAACTTTAGCCAACTCAGCGAACTTCTCCGCATTGCTAGCAAAACTTGTGCGTGGTCGAAAGAACCCCATTTGTGACGACTGATGGTCTACCACCGAGTACTTGCTGGTTCCGTCTAAAGCTAAAGCGAATAGCTAGATCCGTGCGGTGGGACCTAGCGTATGATCGTTTATTAAGTGTTTGTATTTCTGTATTACTCAATTCAAGTGTCGATAGACCGGTTGGTTTGCCAATATCGACAAGAATTATCCTCAGTGATAGCTAAGTCCCACATCTCCGCACATACGCCAGGGGAAGTTCAGTGTTTGTTACCTACGGGAAGTCCTCCGGAGGACTACGAGGAGAGACTACGCGCTGTTTGGATGTGGTCCGACAGCCTAGCGGTTACTAACATGGCCTCGAGCTTGGTCAAGTGTTTGGATCCTAGGTGATGAGGGTCTCTTTGCTTTTTTCTCAAAGTGTTCTATATATTCAAAACTATTTTGCATAATTGGAAGCTTAAACTCGCCTTGGAAAATTGCTATTTGCGGAAAACTAGGACTGTACTGGATGACACAGATTTTGGAATTCATTTTCTCTAACCGTTAAGCTTTCTCGCAAGACGGAAGAAGCGTTGTGATTTTGCTCGCAGCGTCGTTCAGCATATGTGGAAGATAGGTTTGAAGTCAGCGCCCAAAGACGCATCAAAGGGTCACATCCCATTCCAAACGGCCACTTTAAGTTGCCTTCCTTCCCTTGTTAGCAATTACTTTCTTTAACAAGTGCAAGAAGCCTACTCCGTGAGAAAGAGCGAAGTTCACTACCGCAATCACAATATATAGTATAAGAACACCTCGTTAGCTCAGGACCTACTCTAAAACACGTTGAAGTTCACTAGAGGAATCGTAGCGAGCACGACACAACAAGAAGCACGAACATCCCCCACAGACTCACAATCATCAAAAGCACACCACCCTGGTCGCAGAAATTTCAGTGTTCGGCATCTCGTGTAATATCTTGGCTCAAACCAGCATTTAAACTTCCACCCTTCAGCATGAAAAGATTTTGTGGTGAAACAACGGACAAAATGAAAGACAAAAGGAGCATTTGAAGACCAAACATAAGCTCTCTGCAAAAAATTAACTTAGGAGGAATGAATTAATAGGCGTGGTTCCAGCTTGATGTTTCACGAGAAAAGTGCCCATCACTGAAAGATTTTTCTGATACATGGAGGGGCAGCTTCAGAGGAATGATAGTCAACAGCAGTGAAATCTTAAATAAACCTGATGGCTATAAATTGTGTCGTAAATTACAGTATGAAGTATCGTGGAGATGTAGAGCGGTAATACTGTATAAAACTGATCCTGAGGCATCAGCTCAGCCCATGCAATCAACACACCCCAGTTGAGGGTGGCTCCTGGAACAAATTTTACAGTTCCACACCTTAACTAAGCTTCTGGACCGTCCTAGAAAGCAACATGATGACAAGTGACAGCCATGGAAAATGCTAAAAATAATGATTTGGGGGGAGCATTGACAAGAAGGTTCTGCCAGATAGGGATCACGGCAGCACCGAAAGGCCCGGCACGAATCGATCCACGATGTTGTTCATTAATGACAAAAATATATGAACATCTTTCCTTGAAGCGCCTTCGAGATAAAGTACCGCATTGGATTGCACTTTCACAAAAGAGCTGACGATTTACCGATTTCCCAACCTTCGGTGTGCCGAAAAATCGGTAAATAAGCATCCACCATAAAACGTACAATACCTAGATCTAGGGATGCCAGCTACTTTAGCTTTCCGAACCGCTTTTCCACTGCATTTGTCATAACCTAATATAAACCAGCAAACACCTAGAATTTCATCACAAGCACTGCTTTTGAAAGGAAAAAAGTTGAAGCCAGACTACTGCAAAATAGCATTCATCACATACAACAAAAAAAAACACTGAAAAGCATTGCACTGATGACTGAAAAACTCAGGACCGAACATGATTCGTGCCGGGCCTCCGAAAGAAAGACGTTCGAAAACTGAGTTGCTCCTCAGTCAGGGGTCATGAGCCAACGAGGTGCAACAAATTAGAGCTGGATTTCTAATAAATTGTACGAACAGTGCTCACCTAAAACAAACTGCGGCCAGTAAGTGTATCGCTTTGCCAGCGGATATCCTACTACTAGAAACATTGAAGCCGCGCCAACTGCAACACTGAAACCATCAAATAACGGCACGCTTACTTTCGTTGTAACAACATTATCAATGAGCAGCGATGAAAATGTTGTTTTGATTTGAAATCACGTCACCATTCTGTATGATCAAAGCATGACAAAAGTCTACACTTATAGGACTGCAAGATACGTCCCTTGCCTACTGTAAAATAAAGAGTAACATGAGCCAACATAAACACGTTACCTCCTCAAATATAAACGCTGCTAATAAATACCTGAACCAGTTCATCTGCAAGAGAACAGCTAAAGATGTGGATAGCAATCCACCTAAAAGAGCTATTGCCTGCCTCTCCGTCAAAGATCCACACGCAAGAGGTCGCATTTTTGTGCGTTCAACCTAGAAAAAAAACGCCAAAAATTAAAAATGCTGAAATGAAAATGCACTAGCTAACTAACAAGGCTTTGATTAATTGACTTCTAAAACAAACTTTCTTGTCGAATTCCTTATCAAACAGATCATTAATTACGCAGCCAGCACTGCGCATCAATATTGCGCCAACACCAAAAAGTGTTAGATAGTACAACGAAGGAAGTTGACCGGCAGGAGTAGCTAGAGCGATGGACCAAGTGCACGGCCAATATAACAGCCAGGTTCCTAAAGATTTATTATGGCTAAATCTCAGATTTCTCTTAGAAACATGTCGCGTATTTTTCATTTTAGATTTTCGCCTTCAGAAACAACGTAAACTTCCATTTTGGTGTTTCACACCTAAGGTATCTGTATCACACTCACTGTTAGTCTTCATCGTGCATGTGCACTTTTAGAACAACAATCCATTTGAAAGAATAGACCACACAATTCCAATATCGTACCGATAGGCTTGTCTATCCGCATTATTTGAAGGTATGGCCGCAGGGCGGCTGGAGAAGCAAGGACAATATCCGAAGCACTCGTGATTCTCAACGATCGTATCAAAGAGCGAGGACCATCAGTGCGCACGGAATCTTTAGAATTAGATAAGGCCCTGAGAAAGGTTATCATTCACTCAACTGTAACTAAAAACCTAACAAAGGGAAGGACTCACCATCTTCGTTGACTGATGTGAGGAACGGTTACAGAAGAGACTGTTGGCCACAGAGAAAACACACAGCGATTCGATGACTGGCATCTTGCAAGCATTTCTGCGAGAGATGCCAGATTTTTGAACCCACTCCTTTGATATGCTGCAACACAAAAAGATACAAAAGCTATTGAAAATGATAAAATAAGCAAAATACTGCAACGAGTTCTCAAGAGATACTACCAGACGAAACTCTCGAGAAGCATTGACATATCGGATGTTTACTCATCTATTTAATGCTGAGCATAATAATTTTGAACATACACAATATGCAATAAACTTTTAAGCACTACAGGATGTGTAGCACGGATAACAAAACAAAACAATCAACAGTCAACAGTAAAACGAATCAATGAAACCAGCAATAACAGAGTGAAGTGAAACAACAGTTATTAGAATTCCATGGTATCATTTGCTCTGGCAACAATGTCAATCTTGGTGACTGTTTGCTCGCCATGTTCGCCATCTACTGCTTTTGATTCCAATTCACGACGGATTTCAGGTGAGATTAGGTAATGGCTTTGGTACTGTAAACAGGCGAATCAATTCTATCAGAGAGTTCTAAACTAGCACCTTGAACAAACCCTGATGAGGTCCATGATAGCAGCTTTTTGTTCCGGGCTAAAAGTCGTTCTTATATCGCTGGCAGAGAGCCAGCAGACATTGATGCCAAAGCACGGGCATTTCACGCTCGTCATTCTTCATTCTTAAATTGTTTCGTAAAGCTAATGAGTGAATTTACCGTTACCAATGGAGGAACATCATCTACATGAATGGAAAAATTTACACAAACCTGAGAAAATGCGACACAATCGCATCAATTGCTTTGTATGGCAACGCGAATTTTTTGTCAATGAGAGCTCTGAGAAAAACTGAATTGGCTCCATTATACTCCATTTCCGAAATCTGAAAACAACACTTTCAACAAAGAAGGCCTAGAGCTACGTCACTGTGGCAAAAATCAAGCTGCCAAACGCCCGAACCCCGTTAACCTACAACGAGCTTGTAGAACTCTAAAAGAAAGCCTAAGGGACAAAAAAGAGCACTAATCGCTCATGAAGGTACGGCAACATTAGCGGCGAACGGAACCTCTCAATCAATCAGAACTCATTTGCTACCAGCCTCAGGGATCCTCCTCTGTATCGCTACAGACAGAGTGGACAAGTCATTGACAGGCCAAATCACATTTATAATGCAGTTACGATTATGAATGGAAGTATAAGGCTGGGCGCATCCTGAAAAGGGATCGACGATAGTCTGATTCTCATTGGGGAAGACTTGAACATCGGTTAGCACACGGAAATCATTGTGTAGGCCGAATCTCTTTCAAATTACATTACTGAGGTACGATTTCGAATAGATTTCGATTTCGAAAAATCGAATTGTGCATTTCGAAAGAGATAGATCAATGTTTAAATACACATACTTTTGGCATTTTACTTATGTGGTGACTTCCGTAGGTGAACATAGAAAGCCCACCTTTAACATGGCAGCAGCAGCATGGAACATCGGTATAGAAACCTTTGCCAGTACTGAACTGAATATGGTTGCTTCACGGAGAGTACATGTGCCAGACTGAAAAGATCAATGTTTTCAGCTGACACCGATAGCAGTCGGAATATGGTGAGTGCGAATTCTCATTACGTGCGAATTAGAAAGTCTCGGAGGAAAATGAACGAGTGCTTCAACTAACCTCACAAAGTGGTAGTATTATTCCCTTGAAAAACGCAGCCGGCTTATACATAGCCTTACAAAGAGCTTGGTAGAGGTGAAAATTGAGTTTTTTAAATTCGTCGATGTCATCCCGAAGGCGTGGAAGGAGAACGAGATTGTAGAATCTGTGAAGAATGGAACTGTTTTCATTGAACGAATCACGAAATTTTACACTGAGAACCTTTGGCACATCCTGGGATTCAAATTTGAGGCGAAGAGCCGAGTAGCCTGATAGACTGCTGCCGCACTCCATCCATCGGGATCAGTTAAACTAGAAAAATTGGACGAAATTAGAGAAATTGGATGAGTCGACACGTAAAGTACTTACTATAGTATTTGCTCCCAATTCACCATTTTTGGTATCACTTTGAAAGCTTTTGGTATTTTTCCGCTTCTGTATTTCGAAAGTACTTTTCCAATTTCCTTATACATCTCTACAACCTCAGGATCAAGATCACGCACCTAAAAACATAGGTCTAAAGAAATAGAACCACTGATTCTGATAAGTGACAATATTATTTAAAAAAAACCATAAGGAAACAACTAAGAATGGCTGGAACATTAACTATTGAGATCACATTACATTGAATTCATTAGGATCCACTGTGCTCAACGCAAGTTCCGCATCGTCCATTTTTGCGTCAATTTTTGCTTGAATGATGTCGTAAAGTGTTCTTGTCCCACCTTCCTTACTAATCATGAACTTGGCTAGCTCGGCTTCATCCTTTGGATCCAATTCCTAAAGGATATATAGACATTACACACATTAAAACTTGAATTAATAATACTGAAAGAACCTAAAATGATATGGTTTCGAAAACGAGGTGAACTTACTATCACATGGTCATCATAGTCGCCATCCGAAAGTTCTTCCAAGTCAGAATCTTCATCGCTTTTGGCACCCAAGCTTATCTGTCGCATCCTTCAAAAAAGTGACAATTAAGGATCAAAAAAGCAAATTGTTCAACTGACCAAATAAACACTAAATAAAACCTTATGAAGAGAGCATTTTGTGCTGAATGTATCTCACCGCCAAAATAATATTTTCAAAGCACAAGCCTTCTCTATGCGCCACGTTTGGCCTGCACCCTTTGCTAACAAAAATTTCACTTCACTTGACCTTTGTTCAAATAGAGTAACAAATAGATTAAGCTGCACCTCCAAATATAAGAAAGCCAAACCTTTCACAAATGGGGGGGGGGCAAATTTTGAGACCTCGGTAGATAATAGGACAAAACACTCGTAGTTGAGCATTTCTTTTTTGGAGGTGCCATGCATTAAACTTCCAAAAATATTACTAGCGGCATTTCGAACGCGAGTTGGCCTATACTATGAATGACTTGTGGGGACCAGCTGACGTACAAACCACTGTTTTTACCCTACCAGGCACTTATGATACCAATTGATCGACCCCGGAGGGATGGAAGCATGGTTGGCCTGGGCGGCGTACACGATTTCATCTCCGGATCGTGAGTGTGATAAGCAGCATCACTTGACACTAGACCACTTCAATACATAGCACTGTTTAAGAGGTATATCGCTAGCTCTTTGAGACACAACTCGACCACAAACCTCTTCTTATTGTCATTTTCTTCTGGAGTTTCATCATCTCCAATCTCGTGAAGTTGCTTTCTTGCCTGGGCTATTATTTTCCCGGATAGGTTGTTCGGAATGTACTGAAAGCAAGACTAAACTTCTGTCACTGAGGACCATGTAAGAGTCAGACGTTGAAAGAGCAAACCTCCTCCGTTTCCAAATCTGGTTTCCGTTTTCTTTTTTCCCGAAGTTCCGAGCGCGACTTAGCTATTTTGGCTCCTTCGATTTGCTGTTCCAATGGCCCAGGTGTTGGAATCAAATCACCCTTATTGGACTTTTGTATAGCCTTCTTCTTTCCCATTTCAGCGGCTGAAAAGTGAAATAATAATTTGCATGGTACATCGGCTACAAATACAGTAGATGTCCAACGTCATATAATGATAAGGAAGACACGGTTCCTATACATTGTGTAGAAGAAACCATAGCTTTTTCTAGGCCCTAGTTTTCTTGATTGCTAAACCACCACCGCCGCTCTCCTTTTCCCGAATCATTCATTGGAATACTATCAGTACAGCTACTTTGAAAAAGGAGGAACAACACTAGAGAGAAATCAGTTATGGAAAGCTTGCTGCAGGAATTGATAAAAGAAATTCCTCGATGGCTGGTTAGCCATGGGGCGCGATATCTGCTGCCACATCTGTATGGGCAGTCGTTGGAAATGTCCTGTTCCATACGCATCACAAGAAGCTGATCTTGCAAGAATTCTATCATCAGCAGTGGTTCAGAGACATACGCCCACAATTCGATGAACTTTTTTCCCCGAGGGCCCTTCTCA